TTTCCCTCCGTTAGGTGTCTGGGGACAGCAATGGGATTTCCTCTTCGCCTTCTGTTCTTCAGGCCGAACTTCTCTCAGGCTCTTGTCCATCATGTTCTCTAGCCCCCCGTGCAACCAGCTAGGTTACCTGTGCAGGACTCGCTCCAGTTTGTCAGTACCCTTTTTTCTCTTCTGCTGGGGAGCCCGAAACTGGGCACAGTGTTTGACATATCTCAGCAGTGCTGATTAGAGGGGAATTATTCCTTTCTTCAAAGTTTGGTTGTGCGTATGCAGACACACCCCCAAACAAATTAGAAGGAGTGCCAGGAAAGTTCCTGCTGTGGTGACTTAAATGAGCTGATTTAGCTTATGTTGGGATCTAACATGCTAAAAGACAATTTATGTGATGGCACCTCTGGCCAGTGGTGTTTTTCAGCAGATGAGTGAATTTCCGCCAACTGCAGGTGCTGAGATAAGAGCCAGCTCCCATTAAGGGAGATGGGTGTCACCTCAGGTTCAGCTCACTTCCTTTTTTTTCTTCTCATTAAGACACTTCAGATAAATGTGAGCATTTAGATGGGGTCTATCCAAACTGTAGCACACTCTCTGTCTTTGTCCCTGTCTGCGTGAGCAAATTGCCCTCTTTAGGGGGTGTTTTACCCAAGACAACAATAGGGAGTTCTGTAGATGGGCTGAAGCTGTTGTGTCGATCTCATTGCTTTTCCAACTGTTTTCACCAAGCTTGACTCAGGATCCTTTAAGGACAGCCTTCCAGCTGTCAGCTTTTTCATTCTTCAATTTTTCTTGGAGTCACAGCCATGAAGTAGAGCGTGTTTATGATACTGTGTGTAGCAATCTATTTTCTTACTTTGAAAGAGCATTCTTTGGTCAGGTATGGTTTTTAATAGCCCTACTAAGGTAAATTTTATTTTGGCATATGGGATTTTTGGGGTTCAGTGTCAATTAGCCATTTATTTGCCCTCTGCTGTTTTTAGGTAAATGGCACTGCAATTGGTCCGTGCCCTACAAGAATCGCTGTATCTTCCTGCAGTGTCGCCAGCTAGGTGTGTGTCAGGATGCCAGAGAACAAGACATCAAAGATCTGCTTGGAGGTAATGCCATGCTTCAGGGTCCTGCGAAATCGTAGATCTGGTGCTTTTACCTTAAATTCCTACCCTTAGACCCTGGCTAGCTTCCAGCTGAGGGAAGATGGGTCATGAAATGTCTTCAGGATGATTCTGTAGATAGACTTGGTCCGTTGGGAAAATTGCTTTTCTAGCCTTGTTGTGACTCTGTCATTTACATGTGTGATGTGTCTTTGAGGAGCCTCTATTGGCCTTTCCATGTTAAAGGCATCATTCATCCGTGCCATTGGCACCCCACACTCTGTCCTTTGGAAAATAAAGGCATAGCAGATGTATTTATATTTTTTGAGAAACGGGGAAATGGCTTGGCATTGGTTTTTCTGAGATTGCCAGGACTGCTGTGCCAGAGGCAGCAGACTGCTTGTATAATCAGAGCAGAATTAGTAGCAATTGCTCATTGTGACTTTCCCGTACCAAGGTCTTCAGTTTTAATTAAAAGTGACACAAGAGCAAAATGGAACTTGTTGGTAATTGGGGAATCAATCTTCTGAAGTATTTTTCAAGACTTTGCTGTACACAAGCTTTAAAAACAAAAAGCAAACAAGAAAAAGGACACAGCTTTGTTCATGGTTCTTTTGGGTTGGCAAAGGTTTCTCTGGTTAGCAGCTAGTCCTGTGATGAGTAGGTGGGGTTGTTACTAGAAATCCAGATCACTAGTTCTGGAGGGAATTCTCCTGAAGCATAAAGGCGTAAGTGGAAATTTCCAGACAATTTTGAGAGGTGAAAAGTATGACTCCACGCGTGAAGGCTGTGTTGGTGCAGGGTAACTGTGTGAGAGCTTGAGGTGTCATCTCAGGAGCTTTCACAGATCATAACTGGCATTTGTAATGCTGCTTCTGCTGAGCAAATGTTTCTACATTCTAGCTCTGTACTTCATCACACCCCTTTTGGGAATTAATTCCCTGGTTGAGCAAATGCCAAAGGTCTGTGATGAAAAGAGTAACCCAAAAGGATTATGTGCAATAAAAGCAGGGATCTGCATTTTCATGTTCTTGCTGACTTTAGGACTGATTTATTCCAGTTGTGCTGCATCTACTTCAGAATGTCTGTTCTGGTTTGCGTGCGGCCACGAGATCAGATTTGGGCTTGAGAGCTTTATTAATTATTGTTTTGAAACTCTATGATTTTTGTCTTTTTAAAGAAATTGTCCTTAGGAAGAGGAGAACAGACCTGTTTCACCACCAAAGGTATCCAGAGCAGATGGAGAAGATGGTGAATGCAATGACTGAACAACAAAACACAGAAAACCTGCTTTCCTCAACCGCTTGGACTCACAAGATTCACTCAAGGCGGTTGCTTGGGGTTGTAAATGATACTGAAACAACACACCCAGGGAAAACTGCAACCAATGCTGCCACCACCCCAGTGACTACCAGCACTGCTGCAGCTGCAACCACAAATGGTATAAATACAACTGTCTTCGCTGCAGCTTCTGAAACAGGTGTCAAAGCTTCAAATGCCTCTGAAGGTACTGGTGATGTCCTTACTAAAGCCATGTCTTCCACTGCCTCTTCTCCCACTTCTGATAACGTCACTGCTTCTGTATCCAATAACGTCACCAAGCCTATGACCACCACCGAAAAATCAGGAAATAGTAGCTCTGGTCCAATATCAGAATCCCCTTCTCCTCCCCTTGCTGTCACTTCCGAAGCAGGCACTCTGCCTCCATCAGAGCAGTTTAACAAAGCTGCCCGCACTTCCCCTTCTAGTACTGTCACCACTGTTGGAGTTGTCCCAAAGATACCAAGCACAAACACAGCAACAACCACCCTAATCCCTCCTGATGCCCGAACATCATCATCTGCTGCTGCTCGCACTGCTGCACTCACTACTTCGGTGAGATCACATTCCAGTAATCCAATACCTGATGTTACATCACTAAATCCAGAGCCAGAAGAAAGTACAGCCACAACAACCTTGAGTAAATTGGCTACAAGTGCGGTGGTTTCAACAACTGCACCTACAACACAAGCTACAACTGGGCATGAGATAAAGTCAATGTCTCACATTCCCTCGACTAAGCGTATGACCACAGTTCCAGCAAATGCCCCTGGAACAACAGTTTCAGGCCTTGCAGGAACTCAGGACACAGACCACGGGTATCTTCTCATTGCTGCTGAGCCTCTGACTCAGTACTTGGTAGACAAAAGTTCGCTTCTCGCAGTGCTTTTATTTGGTACGATTTTTTTCATAACTGTTATAGTTCTCTTCCTTACGCAGGCCTACGAGAGCTACAAAAAGAAGGATTACACGCAAGTGGATTACTTGATCAATGGAATGTATGTGGACTCAGAGATGTGAAAGGTTGGGGCTAAAACTTGGGGCAGAGAGATGGAAAGGAGATTGAAAGCCTGTCTGACTTGGTTTTCTTTCCCATTTGCCTATAAGACAAACTGAAAGTGCTTCCAAATTTACTTCTGGTGCAATTTAGGAGAAATGCCATGTACTGTATTAAGAACAAAAAGTATATATATATATTTTTTATTCAACTTTGCAACAGATTGCGGTAGGAAAGTAGTCATTTTTAAAACTTTTCCATAATGCGGAATAGCTTTGGCCATTATTTTTCACTGCAAAAATGATCCTAACATGAGGTGAGCTGTCATCCTCTAGGAATGATGTGGCGCTTTTTCAACTGTTTACACTGTAAGTTCTTTGTGTTTTGTTGGTATCATGTGTGCTCCTCTCTGTAAAACGGAACAGAGGGAGCTCGCACCTTTTGTGAAGTGCTTTGAACTCACCAGATGTGTGAAGTATTGCTACAACAGGGAACTTTTAATCCAGTGTGCACCATGTTTTGATATGCTTCCTGCTTGTAAAGAGTTCTGTTTACAAGGTGCTGTAAACACTCTGTTTACTGCTAACCCAAGGTGGCTTTTCACTGTGGAGCGGATTATTGTGCCTCTGCACTCACGTGATCTTATTTTTGTATTCACTCAATAAATGCAGCCCTGGAAGGGCATGTCTTGTTGCAATTCTGTTTTCATTCCTGTCCCTGCTAGTTTAGAAGCAAGAGAGAGATTTTTGGCTTGCACAAATTAGCTATACTTTAATGTTTCAAGTACAGGGAGTTTGAAGACAGCACTGGAGGTGCAGGCGTGTCACAGAAGATGCTGATCTTTAAAAGTTGGACCTCTGTTCTTTGCAACCATAATGCTGCAAAGTCTACCAGGTATGCGGAATCTTTCACCTTAGCATAGCTTATTAATTTTTATGCATAAGCCATCAGGTGCTCTTTTTTCTTTTTCCTTCAGTACTAGCTCAGAGTTGCTAATAAGTGGGAATCCCTATTATACATGCGTACACATACACCCCCCCATCTGACCTCCTACTAAGATCTGCAGCTGAGAGAACAGAAAACACTCAATTCTTGGCAAGTATTCTGCAGTGATTTATGCATCTTATTTGAGTGAAACTTAAATATAAATAGCAAAAGGCTAGATCAAGATGTGTTGTGTGTGTATATATATATATATATATATATTTTTTTTTTTTTTTAACCAGATTTCATTGCTTTTATCTTCTCTGAATGAATTTGCTTTTTCTACTTTATCCAGCCTCAAGATTACATGGGAGCAGGATAATAGGCAAACCTAAGGCTTGGGATCATTGGTTTTGGTTCAGTTATTTATGCAAATCCCTTGGTGGTTTAGAATTTGGATGGAATTTTACCCTGATGGAAGCTACCTTGTTGACTTCTAGTTCATCTTCAAGCTGAAAGTGCTCTAAAGACAGCTGCAAATAGCACAAGCAGCAGGAGAGACAAGGGATAGTTAAAAAGAAATGAATGGGAGCTAGTTTCCTGAATCTTTGCCAATCTAAAAGGCTTATTTGCTACTTTTGTGGTTTTGAGGACAACGTTTCAGGAAATGGAGTGTGGGGTGGGTAACTAGAAGGGGCTGAGGAAAGAGAAGAGATCTCTCTAAAAGTGAACTGATGTGGTTGTCAGTGTTGGGTTGAGTTTTATGGTGCGCTTGCACTGGCTGCATCCGCATGCCAACAGGTTAGAGCATCTCTCCAGGTAAAAGGATGATGTGGTTTTGGGAGCCTCCCTCCTTGGAAGGTTTGAAGTGTAAGCCATAAAATTCACACCACTCTTCCTGAAGAAAAGTTTGCAGGACTGTGTGTGTGTGTATATATATATATATTTTTTTTTTTAATTGTACTTTTAAGCTATTTTGGAATTGGTCCCGGTTCTCTGTGGCAGGGAATTTGAGTGCTGATTTTCCCTATCTTCTAGGAACTGCCCGCGTGCAGTGTCTGATGCAACCAAGTGTCAGGAACATCCCTGAGAGCAGCTGAGGAGTTATACCCTATTGAGATGTCTGGGACCTTTCACCTCTGAACGCAACTCTTTTAAGCTGTCAGCAGACATCAGGCAGATGCTGCTCTACAGCAGACTTAACTGTAAATTAGTAAACTCAAGTTTCACCTTAATTGCATGACTTAAGCAAGTGAGGCGCTAACCACAGACCTAAGCATGTGGTCTTTGCACTTTATTCCAGATACTGAGATAAGAGTTGACTTCTCAAGTCCCTGCCATCTCCCAAGAGATGGGTGTTACCTCAGATTCAGCTCATTTTTCTCTCTCTCCGTTTAGGCATCTCAGATAAATGCATTTAGATAGGGTGGAGCCAGGCAGTAGTGCTCTTCCCTTGCACTTCCCCTGGCTGTACAAGTGAGTTCCTCTCTATAGGAAGTGCCTTCCTGTTTAAAGGTTCAATGTTGCAGGTCCTCTGCTAGTGGTCCGCAGTAATTTTCTTCTTAAAGTTGCCTGAGCCATTTCCACAAAGGCAAACTATGATCATCGAACTCGTAATTGCTTATCCTGGAAACAGGAAACTTTTGTATGAGCTTTCCAGTAACTACTGCACTGTTATGAAATCCCTGGATTTCTTCATAGCAGAAGACTTAAAATTGGACACCAGATTCTGTGGAATAGAGCAGGAATTTGTGAAGTTGCATTGGTTTTGTGTCCTCTTTGAGGCAATATCAGAGCCCTGTTGTTGATATTTTGGGGGGAAGGGAATGTTCTGATTCTGTTCATCTACCGCCTTCTCTGAGTAATTTGTTTGTTTGCCTCTTTGTTTCTTCTTTTTTTTAAACAAGCAGCTTTCAAAGTCTGCTTGTTTAAAAACCACCACCACCACCACCTTCAGGAATGATTTGAGTATATGCATGGTATAATTACAGAGGTGGAATAGGGTTACAACTCTATGTACAAGAGTCTTAGGGAGTTTCTCATGGACACAGTGAGAATGTTACAACTGCATTGCAACTAAAAGAAACCACCACCATAAAAATCTTTGTGGCTTCTCAACAGGTCCTTACAGGAAGGTGAGTGCTCATCAGAAGCTTGTTGCAGTTCCCACAGCCCACTCTGTTTACAACTAGGTCTCCTGTTCAGACACTGGCACAGCCTGTCTCTTTTGTTCTTATTTGCGTTACCACACTTCCAGACCTGAATTACTGTCTCAGCAGAAACTGAAGTTTTCAGTGCAAGGCTGAGCACTGGCCCATGTCTTGCTTATCGGTACATTTCTGCGCACAAGGCAGAGATCTTCACGCTTACTGTAATGGTGTTTAAAGTGCAGTACCAAGTGGAGAAATCCCAAGGAGGCTTTGCTTTGTGTCTCATTTCCACCTCAAACCTGTTGTTTCTGTTTTGAAAACCTGCCTTCCAGAAAGGCTTATTTTGTGTTTGTTTTAAGGCTGCAAATGGCAGCAAATCTACTGCATTTCTTGGAATATTGTTGTCTTTGTTAATAGCTAGTAAGGGAGACAAGAAAATGCAATACCTTGAAAGTTTGCTTGCTGAATTCCCAGTCTAACATTAGACCGAGTCCTATCGAGTTATCTAGAAGACATCTGCCAAGGGACTGCCAAAAACAACATGCTGCCTCTGTGAAGCAGAGTACATCTGACGCACGTTGGGTTTCAACCTCTTGCATAGCCTCTTTCTCAATAAAACACAGGAACATCCTGGAATTAAATTTAGATTTGATTATCTTGAATGCTACCTCCCTCTTGTTTAATTGCATGTATTAGAAGTATGTCGTTTGAGAGAGTGGAGAGGAAAGGAAACAATCGAGGGGTGAAACGCTCGATAAGAAAGAAGAACTCTTAAACTGAAAACGTGAGCTTGAGGTATACCAAGTGGTGCCCAGAGAGATGGGGGGCAGAGGCTAAACTCTCTCTAAGTGTGACAGCTAATGTGTCTACTAGGAGAACACTTGGGGTGCTATGGAAACAGGTACCCGTGGAGTTGGTTCCTCTGGATTTGTTTGGTGGTTGCTCATTTCTGGTATCATAAAACCAAAAAAAAAAAAAAAAACTTTTTCCACAGTGGATTCTGTGGTATGTAGCAAAGGCAAGTTCACATTGCAGCATCTCCCTTGACCAGGGCCCTCCTTGCTATCGTCTTTCTGTGGCCTCCAAGTCTCAGGAAACCTTTGGGAACTTCATTATCTTGGTTGTGCTTGGCCGAACTTGGCCAATGGGTTCAAAAGCAAATACTGTCTTTTCCACAAGGTGGGAGCTCGTAAGTTTGTGCTTTTTGAGAAGAAACCAGGCTGAGCAGCAGCAAAACCTTGACCAATAATGATTCCTATCTGTTAGAAGGCCAAGGAGTTCGGGGTTATGACTCTGCTTTGGCGTTTTGGTCTTACTGAATAACTAGTTACTGTGGATGCAGCTGATCTTTGCTCTACAGGATTTTTTCTTCTCAGTAGCTGCAGGTCCTTGGACTAGGTAAAACTGATCTCCTACAATCACTCTTCTGCTGTTCAACTTCATTATCCAGCCTGTGTCAAAATGTCCTAAGCAAGCTGGTTGAAAGGGGTGCTGTGGCCGGTTCTCCTCTTCTCCTCCTTTGCGGTGTTTAGTGTTCCTTAAACCCTTATCTGCCTGTGCTTTTGCTAGGCTTGACGCAAAGTATTTAGAGCAGCCTTGTTTTGGCTGAGACGTGCCAGCAGGCTGTGCTGTGGGGCAGCTCTTTCGGAGCTCACACTGTTCACTGTTCCTCTGGCAGAGAAACCCCAAAGGGTCTGGGAAAAAAGTCTCTCTGCCTGAGCCTGGATGTCCTGGTTAGCCCTATGTGATGTTCATCTTGTGCCTTGGCTGGAATTATGTTTGAATTACGAAATATGCTTAAGTGAAGGGTCCTTTGAGTGCAGAGCTTACCCATCATCTTGTCCATCCCAATTAAAAAGAGTAGAACTGTTTGGACAGGAGCATATGATCTATTTGTAAAAGTAAACAAATAACTTGTCTGTATGCAGGGTCACTAAGTGTTTTAACCCCTTCAAGCTGGGAGAAGCAAAATTGATTGCACTAGTTTGAGAGTCATGGAGTTTGCAAGTGATCCCTGTTCTTTACTGGGAGCAGATGAAGTTGCAAACCTGAGCTTGTGAGTCTTAAAAACTGTGAAATCTTCCAGCGTGACTCTGAGAAGACTAGGAAATGGAGAAGGAGAAAAGAAAGGGGAAGGATTTGTTCAGCTGATGGGGCAAATACTCACATTTAGAGGTGACCATTCATGGCTTTCTCAAAAACATGGTCAATATTTAAATTCCAAATTCCAGGGTTAATTGTAAACTCTGCTCTATGGCCTTGAGATTTCAGCTGCTACTGCTGATTAGAGGGTGACAGTTTTCAAAAGTGCTTAAAAGGGGGACAGAATCCCAAAGTTATGTTGTGATTTCTCATATGTGCCTGCCCTTGCTGTGGGCGTATTTCTGAGCACCTTTACTCACTCTCGGTCAATGCAGCTATGCTTAAGCGTCAGTGCAACCAAGGCCTTAGAAGCATTCCCCACCAAGTATTACTCCTGTCCCTTATGAACAGCAAAATAAGGGGGGGAGGGGAGAGGAGGATGGAAGACACTTTTTTCCTGAGAAGTAACAAGCAAATCTAGTTTTGACTTTTTTCCCTTAAAGTTTATGTTGCTGTTTTAATTTTTCTTCATTTCTCTCTC